TCATAGTACTTATAGTTACTATCCCATGAATAGCAGTTTATATTGTTAGTTATCAAAATATCCTATATCATAATTGCTTAATGGGACATGATAAAATTTGACTATACTCACAAATGACAGACTCCTTATTCTGATTCTGTCCTAACTTTCTCAACTTAGGGTTTCTTTTCTAAATAGTTTGGGTGTTGGGATCAAATATCTATTTTTTTCTTTTAATTTTTTTTTTTTTGAGATAGGGTCTCACTACATAGTTCAGGGTGACCTTGAACTCACTATGTAGCCCAAGCTGTCCTCAAACTCTTGAGGATCCTCCTGCCTCAGCCTGTCTCGTGCTGAGATTATAGGCATGTGCCACCATGCCCGGCTAGGATCAAACATCTTTTATAGAATTGTTGAAAGGAGCCAGGCATGGTGGCACATGCCTGTAATCTCAGCCATCTGGAGGATCACAAGTTTGGACCTAGCCTGGGCAATTTAGCAAGACCCTGTCTCACCATAAAACATAAAAAAGGGCTGAGGATGTAGTTCAGTGTGAAGGCCCTTGTTATGGTTTGTGTCTAAAGGTTCCCTCAAAGCCTTATGTGGTCGTAGGCTATTTTGGAGATGGCTGAATCTAGAGTGTGTGATTGATTCATGGTGGGGTTAGGCCCCTGAGGGCAGTAGGATTAAGGACATGAGTGCTACCCACCCTAAGTAGTCTCAATAAGATAAAAGGGGCAGGGCCAGGGATTTAGCTCAGTGGTTCTGGCACATGCCTTGCAAGCACAAGGTCTCGAGTTTGATCCCCGGTACCCCCTTAGAAAAGATAAAAGGGGCAGAAAGACCCCTCTTGTTGCTTTTACTCTCCCACTGCCATGAAGTGTTGACTCTCTGCTATGCCCCACTGCCTTGGAGCCAGCTGATTATGGACTGAACCCTCTATGAACTGTAAGCCAAATAAACCTTTCCCCATTTAATTTTGGGTATCAGGTATTTTGTCTTGGCAATGACAGAAACATAACTAACATACCCCTGGATTCAATTCCCAGTACTGCCAAGGGCCGCATGCCCCAATCTCAAAACAATCGCGCTACATTCAGCCTAGACCAAGTAGGCCATGCAGCACCTTCTCTTGCTGTTTGTCTTACACTGTAAACAAAGAGCTCTGGACCCCAGGTGGCCATTAGCTCATCAGGCTATGGTTCTACCTGGTCCCAGCTTTCAAGCTTAATCTTGGCATGTATCTTTCTTTCTTGTTATTCTCCAACTTCCTTCATCTCCCACCACTCTCTCCGGCTTCAGACCCTACACTGTGTGGGTCATGGCACAGTACTAAAAAAAATGAAATAGTAGTTCATTATCCGTAACCAAATATTTAGTAAAATCTTATTTCTTTCACCTATTAATTTAAAAAATGGCATAATAGGCAACAAAATATGGCCAAGTGCTAATATGTGTGGTGTAGACAATTGAAGAATATAACGTGTAAAATGAAACTAAATGTATGAGAAGTGCCTTTTGGAGAGAAAAAATAACATTATATGAAGACTACTTGAAAAGAGTGTGCTCAGAATTTGTCTTAAAGATGGGTAGACATGCCGGGCATGGTGGCACACGTCTGTAATCTGTAACCCTCCTTGGGAGGCTGAGAACAGGAGTACTGCTGTGAGTTCAAGGCCAGCCTGGGCTACATAGTGAGTTCAAGGCCAGCCTGGACTGCATAGCCTGGACCTTATCTCAAAACAATGGTAGACGTGGATGAATAAGGAAAAGAAAGGCATTCCAAGTGAGCAACAGAATAAGAAAGATACGATAAAACACAAAAAGCACAAACAAAATTAGGTTGAATTGTTTAAAATTGATGAGTTTTTTAAAAATTGATGAGCTTTTTGGAGGTCAGAAACAACCTAAGGTTGACTATTTTGTATTGTCTGACCCAGTAAAAGCAGCATTCGTGGAATGAATCGCCTAGAAGTTTTAACTGTATTGCAAATTTTTTTAAATATACTGACTGACAGTCCTTGTATTAGTTCTTAATTTTCTGGTGGTTCCTAAATATTTTGTAATCATCTTTTAAAAATTATTTACAGCTTCTAGGTGTAGTGGTGCATGCCTGTAATCCCAGCACTCAGGAGGCTGAAGCAAGAGGCTCCCAAGTTCTAACCCAGCCTGGACATTTTATCAAGACTATCTCAAAATTAAACAAACAGAAAGGGCTGGGAATGCAGCTGAGCACTGGCTGGGTTTAATACCCCATACCACACACACAGACACACACACACACACACAGTGCTGAGTCCCACCCAATAATTTAAAAAATCTCTTTAGACAATAATCATCCTCTTTAGGAAAATAACACTTGTTTTTTTCCCCCATTCTCAGTCTTTTATCCCCAGCTTTTCTCTAAGTGCTATCGAACCCTAGCTTATGCAACCTGTGACAAAGGAAAAGAACCCAGAGACCCCCAAGTTCAATGTTCTTTGGCATCTCAGGGCTCTGAGGCAACGTTCCTTCTGTACCCAGCCCCTGGCCCCGTACCAGAGTTTGTGCCTGCAAACTGCTTCGAGACTGCAACCATAGCATGTGAACGAGACCTTCATAGCACCCAGCCTCGGTGCTCCCTGACCCAGGGTCCCTCTGTAGTTTGTCCAAAGGGCCCCATCAACCCTGCCTGCGGCGGTGGAAGAGGGGTTCATCTATGGTCCCCACTACAGTGTCACCTTGCCCCATGAAGTTCACGTCCTTCAGCAGACTCCTCAGACTCTCAGCCGCTGGGGCTCTCAGTGGTAGCACCCCCAGAAAGAGTGACCTCAGAGTCCCCTCTGTCCCCTCTGCCTGCCAATAGTGTTCGTGCACCTGCAGCTGCTGTCAGTGCCACAGTGGGACCAGAGCCCCAACGGGATGAGTCCTCACTCCTTTGAGGTATGTGCCACCTGGAGAGGAGACATGGAGTCACACATTTAAGCTTTCCCTTTCTTTATTTCCTCTCATTCCTGTTGTTTTGTTTCATTTTGTTTTTTGAGACAGGGACTCACTTTGTAGTTCAGGCTGCCCTTGAACTCTTTATGTAGTTCAGGATATCCTTGAACTTGTGTTGATCTTCCTGCCTCAGCCCCCTGAGTGCTGGGACCACAGGTGTGCACCCCTATGCCCAGCTTCCCAGCTTCTATGATCCTCTAGGACCAGAAAACACAAGGTTTCCCTCTTTTCCTCCTTTCATGTTCTCCCAGCATCAAGTCCTACCAGGCATCATGACCTGGGAGACATATGTAGAAAGCACAACTTCTTTATCCTTTGGGAGAACTCCTAAGTCCTCAAGGAAATTTAGGAAATCCTAGCTAGTGTGGTGGTGCACACCTGTAATCCCAGCACTCCAGGAGGCTGAGGCAGGAAGACTGGAAGTTCAAGCACAGCCTGAGCAACTTAGCAAAACCCTGTCTCAAAGTTAAAAGGGTGAGACCGTACCTCAGTGCAATGGCCCCGGGATCAATCCCTAAGTACAGAAGGAAAAAAAAAGCCTACCCTGTGAGACTTCAAGGCACATAGACATAGACTGGTGTCACATGCTTTTCAGACAAGGCGTTCTTGGGGGCAAATGCTCAAGCCCAGCACCCAGTGCAGGCAGTGATGGATGGCACAGGCGTCAGATGAAGGTTCTGACTCTCTATAAGCAGAGGCCAAGGAGTGAGACCCGCTGGGTTTGAGCTCTGTCTGAGTCACTAACTAGCACATTGCTGCATCTTGTCTAAGCCTCAGTTTCAACTACGAGATTGGGTTATTAGGTGAATTCATTGGCTTAAGGCATGTAATTTGTGTGTAGCACAAAAAAGTGGCCAGGAAATGCTCACTGTCAATGTAACTATGAGGATTATATTGTTGACACAAGTATCATTTAATACTACAGTATTGCTACTGACAACGGAGAGTGCTTCTGGGTCATCTGCATCCCCACCTCCATGTAGATTGGGCCTCCTGACCCCAGTGTTGATGACAGTTTTGGGAGTGGAGTGAGTGTGTGGAGGAATGAGCATGGAGAGAGCAAGTTCATCCCAAACTGCAGCCCTGATTAGCACAACAGGGACCTACCCTACTGAGAAGGGACAAAGTCAAATTCAAGTACATCAGGTGTTTCTATTACCTATCCAGGGGGATAATTTTTTAAAAAATAAGTAAAAAGAGGGAATGAGATAAAGAAATACTAAAATTTGCCAGAGGTGGTGGTATATACCTGTATTCCTATGCCTTGGGAGGCTGAAGCAGGAGGATAGAGAGTTCAAGGACAGCCTAGGTACAATAGCAAGTTCAAGGCCAAGTTGAACTTCATAGTGGAACTTGAACTCAAAAAAGGAACATTAAGCCGGGGACTTAGGGGACTTAGCTCAGTGGTACTGCCCTGCTTCGCAAGTGCAAGGTCCTGAGTTCAATTCCCTAATACCAAAGAACAAACAAACAAAAGGTGTGGTGGTATAAGCCTGTATGCTCTGCACTCTGGGAGGCTGAGGCAGAAAGACTGCAAGTTGGAGTCCCAGCCAGGCAATTTGGCAAGACCCTGTCTCAAAATGAAAACTAAAAAGGGCTGAGGGTGTAAGTAATTCAGTGCAAAGGCCCTGGGTTCAATCCTCAATACAAAACAACCACCCGTAGCTCCACTGGGGTATTTGATTACAGGACAGGGCGACAGAAGGCGGGCTCGGGGACCCTGCCAGGCTTGGCCCGCAGCGCATTTGGAATGTGTCCACGGCCTGATGACGGGGAGAAGAGGAGACAGAGAAGGGAAGCTTGGCAGAATTGCCTTCCTATTTTAATTTATCGCTTTCCCAACTGAAATAATAGCTTTAAAGAGACAAATTATTCACAAATCATCAGGCGCAAATGCTGAGATGGGACGATAAGCAAGAAAATAATTAAAGTCTGTACTGTTCTTAAAATGAAATACTGTCTAGGCGTAGAGAAATAAATTAGATGGCTTTTCAAACCTTTCTACTCTAAGCATTCAAAAGAAAGAAAAAGAAAAAGTCCAGGCCAGTGGCTTTCAAACATTTTTTGACAGCAACCCGAGTAAGACGTGTATTCAACACCTCGATTCCAAATGTACAACACACCGTATTCTTTTTATGATTCGAGTTTCAGGAAAGAATCCCGATTCTCCTAGGTGGTATCGTTGCATTCTCTTTTGTTCCAGCTTCTTCCTTCTTTCCTTTCTTCTTCCTTTCCTAATGCTCCTTGTCCCACTGATTTTGCCACCCAGTCTGAAAACTGCAGCTCTGGTGGGTTTTCCTATTCGGGAAGTCTTTCTGCAGGTTTCTACCCTGAATCAGAGAGAATCCAGCAATCAGGGTGAGAGAGCAGCTTGCAGATGGGACTTCTGAGGCCGCCGCGGGACCGGGGTCTTCCCCTAGGTGAACCAGGGAGAGAGGGGCAGGTAGCCTGAGAGCCCGGAGCAAAATCTGCGAGGTCTGCAGCCACACCGTTCGTCTGGTGGAATCTATTTCATGCCAATTATCGTTAAAACCTCCATCTTAAACACTTAGCATCATCAGCGTGAACCTCGACCACCAGCCCGGCCTCCGTAGCGCCGCCTGGCCAAGCCCGGCTCCCCGCGCAGGGGCCCGGCCCTGGCCGAGTTCGGCTCGGGTCCCCACGGCCTCGGCCCGCTCCCGCCTCGGGGAACTTTCGCTCCACCTGGTGGAAGGTTACACTGGGAGAAAATAGTCCCTTCCGTCTAGAAAGTTTTCAGGGGAGAAGGGGGCTTTGGACATGGAGGAGGGAGCTGGCCAGGGCCGGGTCCCCAGCGCTCCTGCCCGCCCTGTGCCCAGGGGTGGCGCCGGCTGGCGAGGCCAAGGAGGGCGGGGCCCCGGGGCCCAGAACAGTGGGGTCCCCAAGAGCATCCCCACCCATGTCCATCTAGGGGTTGAGCCCAGGGCCTCCAGGCTGTGCTACACCCCCAGCCCTTTTAATTTAATTTAATTTTTTATCCTATTTTTAGACATTGTCTTGCTAAATCGCCAAGTTGCCCAGGCTGGACTCGAACTTGAGAACCTCCTGCCTCAGCCTCTCAGAATGCTGAGATTACAAGGCATGCACCATCACTCCCAGCTGAGCCTTGCTCTCATACGGATAATTTTCTTTAGTCATCCTGATCTCTTGGCCTCAAGACTGCGTTAAGGAACCATAGTAGGAGTGCCAAAAACGAGAAGATTTAGAGGAAAAATTTAAATGGGATCTTTAAAATATAAATTTTCCTACTTCCCTTTTCTTTGTCAAATTAATACAGGTGTAAAGTACATTTTGATAGGGTCTCAGGTCGAGCTCGGAAGCTCTATCTTCTGCTCTCACCTAGACACCAGGATAAGATGTAAGTGGTAGTAATTTTGCCTAGTCGAGGCCTGCTCCTCAAAACCTCCTCCTGGTGAGTGAGGACAGTTTCCAAGGGTGATTGATGCCTTCCAGTTTTTGTTTTGCTTCCTTCTCACATATGTCCCTGCTTCAAGTGGTGATATTATACCAAGGTTCGCCCAGGTTTAATTTAGATCATATTTATTTATTTATTTTTGGTACAGGGGATCCAACTCAGGACCTTGCGCTTGTGAGGCAGGCAGCAGAACTACTGAGCTAAATCCCTGGCCCTAGATCATTTTTTTAAAAATTAGGGGTAAATCATTTAGTTTCTCATTCATATTCAGGAAATTTTGCTCTATTGCTACATGTACTTTAAGTTTTTTTGTTTTGGTTTTGGTACCGGGGATCGAACTTGGGTCCTTGCACTTTCGCAGCAGGCGGCAAAACCACTGAGCTAAATCCCTGGCCCCCTAAGTATTTTTTTTTTTTTGCTGTGTAGATTTCAGTGCAGATAGAAATTCCCTCTCTCTCCCTCTCTCTCTCAGCACTGCCAACAAACATTTGGGAAGTGCTTAGCTCAGGATGCTGTTGGGACCTACAGATGAAACACTCTGACATATATTACTTGTTAAGTTCATGAGAAGCAGCACTTTGCCAGGCATGATGGCACATGCCTGTGATCCCAGCATTCAGGAGGCTGAGGCAGGAGGATCACCATGACTTTGAGGCCAGCCTGGACTACATAGTGAATTCAAGACCACCCTGAACTACATAGCAAGACCCTGTCTCAAAAAATAAATAAAAGAGGGGCCAGGATTTAGCTCAGTGGCACCAAAAACGCCCGTCTTGCAAACACAAGATCCTAAAGTTCGATCCTGGTACCGAAAAAAAAAAGAAAAGAAAAAAGAAGTAAAAGAGGGCCAGGGGGTTTAGCTCAGTGGTTCCACAACCTGCCTTGCAAGCTCAAGGTCCCAAGGTCAATCCCCAGTGCCAAAATAAATAAATAAATAAAAGAAATAGCACTTAGGATTTCATTACATAGTCTGTACCATGCTACAAATCAGAAATCTTTGTAAAATATAAATTGGTTAAATGTAGGAACCTTGTTTTATTTTTCAGGGAAATGGAGTTCATCTCCTACAGTGTTGTACATTAGAAAAGGTCTAGGATGTAAGAGACTCATTTGATGATTACTATTAATATTATTTACCTCTATAGCTTCCAAAGTTCTTTGCACACACTAAACATTGCAAAAGCACGGTTTAGGTGAAGGTTTGGGGACCCTTCACACAGTGGCAGCCTGAGACCCCTTAGCAAGTGACTCGGGTCCCTGTGAGGCTTCTCCAGATGCAGGCCCTCTTGACCTTGACATGTGGATCACCTAACATTTTCACTGGAAAAACTGCACCTAATTAGCTAGCAGGACCTAACCTCATAGCTATGGAACTGGAGAGGTTTAAATATGGAAAAGCTAAGCTCACGTGACCCAGGTCGGGGCGGGGGGTGGGGGAAGATTTCTACCAGTTATTCAAGTTATTCTTGTCAAGAGCAATCGGCCCGGGCTTCCATTACCTCATTCCTCAGGGAAGTGTGTGCTGAGAGCCCAAAGTCATGTGACTTGGTGGAAGCATTGAGTCTGGATTTGCTTTGTGTCTCTGACCTTAGCCATATTAGTTTCTAGTAGGTTTGGAAAAGACTGAAGCTGAACATGGAGATCTAGTTTATTTTAATGCTGTCAGACGGCTAAACGCTGGAAACTTGTTGAAGAGATTTTCTGAGCTGTTTCCTCAGATTAAAGACTTGAGTGAATTAATTTAAAAGGCTCTGAGAGATGGATCATGCCAGACCCCTAACTGGCTCTGAGATTGTCCTTTCTTCTTAGTGTGCGAGACAGTGGAGCTCAGTGCAAGGCAAGCTGCAGCCAGGCAAGGCTGGCTGTGTTGATGGCTTCAGACTTGGGGCTCAGCCTAGAACCGGCCAAGCCGAGGGAGTCCACGGACTCTTTCCTTTGACTCAAGTACCCTAAGCCTGGTAGAAACTCGGACTGTGACAAGGTGCTGAAATATTTAGTGAAAATCAAGCCACAACTTCAGAAGAGCTTTATAGATTTCCATGCATTTCATGTTGCTTTTACAGTATACACCTGAAATTGGTCCTCAATTATTGAGTTATACCCTTGCCAGTCAGTTTCTGTGGCAAGCAACTAAGCCCAAAGTGAACTACCCCATGAAGAGACAACTGTCCCTGTCATTTTAGAGACAAGTAGAGTTGCAGACATGTTCAGGTTTTTTTTTTTTGGTACCAGGGATCGAACTCAGGTCCTTGAGCTTGCGCAGCAGGCGGTGAAACCACTGAGCTAAATACCCAGGCCAACAGACATGTTCAGTTTGAGAGCTGGGTGTGGTGGCACACACCTGTGATCCTAGGTCTTGGGAGGCTGAGGCAGGAGGATCACCGAAAGTTCAAGGCCAGCCTGGGCTACATAGTGAGACCCTGTCTCAAAAAAAAACCCAACAAAACAAGACTATACAGTTTGAGCCTGGTGCAGGGGCACATGCTTTTATAATCCCAGCACTCTGGGAGACTGAGGCAGGAAGATTATAAAATTCAAGCCCAGGTAATTAACAATTAGCTAATTTAGTGAATTAGGGAAACCTTGCCTCAAAAAATAAAATTAAGTTTCAAAAGAGCTACAGATGTTGTTCAGATGCAGTGAAGGCCTGGGTTCAGCCCCAGTACCACCGAAAATAAATAAATAAATTAATTAAAATTAAATTCTTGGCCAAATTCTGAGCAGTGTTTGGGTTTACCTGGTTCAGAGAGCACACTGTCTTTCATCAGAACGCCAACATTGAAGCTGAGAGCCATCATCATTAATGTATATCTACAGTCAGAAAGTGAATGTGGGTGGGGCTGGGGATTTAGCTCAGTGGTTCTGCCGCCTGCCACGCAAGCTCAAGGACCCGAGTTTGATCCCTGGTACCAAAAAAAAGAAAGTGAATGTGGGGCCAGGGATATAGCTCAGTGGCACTGCACCTGCCTGGCAAGTACAATGTCCTGAGTTCAATCCCCGATACCAAAAGAAAGAAATTGAATGTGCCCTGACTGATTGTAATTTATGTATTCAACACCTGTTTATTGAGCAGTAGGCCTTGGAGATACTTCAGTTCTTATCGTGCCTAACAGCCACTCCACGGGAGGGGAATGGGAAAAAAAGAAGCAAGATACATCGTGCACAGGTACAAATTCCCTATGATGAGTGTTATCAGTAAGTATATCTAAAATGTACCAGTAAAATAAAAAGTAATAAATAAATAAATAAATAGTAAAAAGATCACGGATCTTTTGAATTTTGAAAAAAATAAAAGTCATTCAATAGGAAAGTAACCAGGCCCACATATGTAAATTTAAAATTTTCTAGTAGCTATATTAAATTAATTTAATAATTTATTTATTTCTTTATTTAATAATTAATTAATTAGGGCCGGGGAATTAGCTCAGTGGTTCTACCGCCTGCTTCGCAAGCACAAGGTCCCAAGTTCAATCCCCAGGACCAAAAAAGGTTAAAAGAAAACTGGTAAAACTCATTTTAATGATACACCGTATTTTATCAAATATATCTAAAATATAATTTTCATACATAATTAATGTAGAAGTTATTTTTTAAATGTTTTACATTCTTTTTCAAATTTCCTCTGGGCCCTGGGGATTGAACCGAAGGCTTCACGCATGCCAGGCAAGTTCTCTCCCACCAAACTCTACCCCAGCCCTTTTTCCTATTTTACCATGAGACGGGAGCTGGCTAAGGTGGCCACGTTGGGCTCAGACTTGGAATCCTCCTGCCTCATCCTCCTGCGTGGCTGGTACTACATGCAGGGCTGTGGCACATGCCGGCTTTCTCTGTGTTGAAATACATTTTTCTAATTCTCATATGGTCCATCTCACCTTGCATGGACCACGTCTCAGGTGCCCACGGGGCCCACTGGGCAATGCACGCTGGAGGGAATGCTGCGAGTGGACTGGTTACTTCAGTTCAGCACAATGAAGGCTTGATGAGAAGGCTACCTGTGCAGGAAGGGCATACGAGGGGCTGATCCCTTCAGTTCTTTCTGCTGCAGAACCCACACTCCCTCTGCTGCCGTGTCCTTCCTGCCGCTGCTGTCCTCCACCGTCTCTCTGGGCTTCCGTGGCACTTTCACAGTGGTTGGCCGCCTGCCTGTCCCCTCCTCTCCTTATCTGCAGCTGTCCTGACCTTTGAGGATACACATCCAGTTCATCACTCTCCACTTCAAACCTTAACGAAGAGACCATGTGCACTGAACAAATGTGAAATGAGGTACCGAAGTTGTCTCCTACATCCAGCTGTCCCTTTCACGCCTTTCCTTCTGCCTCTTATTCTCTCTCTGACCCTTTTTTCAGTGGGCCTCTTACTACTGCCCTTCCTCTTTTATTTATTTATTTTTGGTGCCTGGGATCGAATTCCGGTCCTTGCGCTTGCGCAGCAGGCAGCGAAACCACTGAGCTAAATCCCCGGCCCTTGTTTTTGTTTTTGAGACAGGATTTTGCTATGTAGTCCAGGCTGGCCTTGAACTCACTGCGATCCTCCTGCCTCAGCCTCCTGAGTGCTGGGATCACAGGTATGTGCCACCACACCTGGCTCTGGCCTTCCTCTGATAAGACACCAGTCTCTTATCATCAGATACTTGACACTTTGCGGGGGAGGTTCTGGGGATCAAGCCCAGGGAATGCTGAGCTATATCCCCAGCCATTTTTTTTCCCTTTGGTACTGGGGATCAAACTCAGGACCTTTCACTTGCCAGGCAGGCGAGGAGCCACTGAGCTAAATTCCCAGGCTTTTTTTTACTTTATTTTGAGACAAGTTCTTACTACATTTCCCAGGCTGGGTTTGAGTTTGTAATCCTTCTGCCTCCACCTCCTGACTAGCTAGGGTTATATTTTATTTTTATTTTTATTTTTTTGGTACTGGGGATCGAACTTGGGTCCTTGCGCTTGCGCAGCAGGTGGCGAAACCACTGAGCTAAATCCCCGGCCTCTTTTCAATTTTTTTTTTTGTAGCTAGGGTTATAAACATGTGCTTTCCATTTTCCATTTTCCTTTCCTCTTTATTTTCCTTTCTGCTTTAGTCTATTAAAATTTTGAATGTAAACATTTTAATATTTGAGCTGTGATTACTTCTGTGTTTCATGTTCTTCCCTTAAAAATCAAAAGAGAGGGCCACGGATTTAGCTTAGTGGTTTTGCCGCCTGCTGCACAAGTGCAAGGACCCGAGTTTGATCCCCGGTACAAAAAAAAAAAAAAAAAATCAGAAGAGAGAGCTAGGTGTGGCGGTGCATGCCTGTAATATCAGTACTCAGGAGGCTGAGGCAGGAGGATCACTAGAGTTCATTTGAAGCCAGCCTGGGCTACATTGTGAGTCCTCAGTGAACTTTTCTTCTAGATTAATGAGTTTCTATGGAAAAATACATATTATTTTCTCCTTCTGGGAAGGAAACAATCCCCTTCATGATTCGTAGGGGAGAAAATGGAGTGGTTACTTCTACAGCTCATTTGGTGACTTGGAGCCAGTGAGGAGCCGGGCTCTTGCCTGCAGCTGCTTTTAAGTGGGTCTAGGTGGGTCACTGCAGCCTCCTGGAAGGAGGGCAGGGATGTGGCACCTTCATTATTCAGTGCCTGTGTCCGTCAATAAGTAAATGAAGCAGGGGATGTAGCTCAGCAGCACTGCGCCTGCCTGGGTGAGTGTAAGGTCCTGAGTTCAATCCCTGGTACCAGTAAAAACAAAATGAATGAAATACCTAATTAAATAAAACTGCAGGGCTGGAAGCCGGCAGTTTCCTTGGCTTTACAGGATTTCTTTTGAGGGTCAGTTCTCTGGTGTGGGAGAAAGGTGGGTAGATCGGCAGGCTGTTCCCTCTAAGTCCTGAGAAAGTGGCTTTAGCGACCCGCTGGTCATCAGCTGCCCACGAGCCTTTGCTGCGTTCAAGCAGGGCAGCTCCAGGGCTGCAGAGGGCAGGAAACTGTTCCCAGAAGGACTTGAGCACAGTAGATGCCAGGCAGGCGGTCTCAGCCCGGAAAAGATGTCTCAGGGGTCGGGATTTAGCTCAGTGGTGCCACCACCTGTCTGCAAGTGCAAGGTCCCAAGTTCGATCCCTGGTACCAAAAAAAAAAGCCTCTGGACGGGCGACCCCTCATGTGAGGCTGCCCCAAAGGCGAGCATATTCAGTAAGGCCTGGGCTTTCAGCTTCAGAATCAACCAACATTTTTTTTTCCAGTACTGGAATCAAATCCATGTCCTCTACACTAAGCTACATATTCAGCCCTTTTTTAAAAAAATAAATTTTTTTTTTTTGAGACAAGGTCTTGCTATGTAGTTCAGGCTGGCCTTGAACTCCAATGTAGCACAGGCTGGGCTCAAGCTCACAGAGATCCTCCTGCTACAGCCTTCCAGGGTGCTGGGATTACAGGAGTGCACCACTGTGCCCAACTTCAAAAGAACCATTTTCAACTTGTGGGCCACAAAGAGAGTTCTTTCTTGTTTGTCTCTGTATTAGTCCACTTTCCCATGGCTGAGGCACAATACCTGACAGTCACAATTTAAAGTAGGAAAGATATAATTTAGCTCACGCTTTCAGAGGAATCAGTCCATGGTCAGCTGGTTCTTGGGCGGAAACATCATGGCAGAAGGGTGTGCAGAGCAAAGCTGCTGGTTCATGTTGGCCAGGGAGCAGAGCAGGGGACCAGTGCCAGAGGGGAAGGGATGACCCAGCGTCAGGCCTCTGTGACTCACCAGACACCCAGGAACCTGCTTTACAAAGCTGCCAGGCATTTCCTAATCCATTAAAATGACATATCAGGGTGAATGGTCACAGTTGCCTATTGAATAATGAAAGGTTTGAGAGATCGGAAAGAAATGGAGACAATAACAGAAAGACTGTCAAATGAGAAGACTGAACTTTAGGTGTCTAGGATGAGCAGTGACACTGACATCTGAGGGCCAAGAGAAGGGTGACCGCCAGCGCCAGCAGCACAATCTCCCAAACTTCCTTAGAAACAGAACCCCCATTATCAAGGGCAGCAATGTGCCCAGCTGAAAACGGCACCTCATAGACTCCATAGATGATGGCAGTGGCACTGAGGTGGAGGGGGGAGCATTTGGCTGGAGCTCCTTGGAAAGCTTATTAAAGTGAGCTGACTTTTCTCAGAGGACCTCCCCTTCTGTCTTTGCTTCGTCCTCATTCCTGCTGCTAGAACACAGGTGTGGCGTCTAGACTAGCATCCTGCTGCCAGGAGGCAATGCTGGGAATGAAAGTCATGAGCAAGGGATAGCAGAGCAGAGCTGGAAGGAGCCTGACCGCTGATTGTATGGAGCCCTCCCAGCCTCAGCTTGCCTATTAGGCAAGGGTCTCACTATGTAACTCAGGCTGACCTTGAAATCCTGAAGATCCCCCTGCCTCAGCCTCCCCAGTGCTGGGATTACAGGTGTGCCCCACCATGCCCAGCTGCAGCTTGCCTATTTTGAATTTCTTCCAGATTAGGGAGAAAAAAATCCTTTTAGTTCCTTTAAATCACTCTTACTTAGACTTTGTTTTCTGTAGCCAAGCTTAATTATAACTAATACAAGGAGGTATTTACAGAGTTCCTTTCCATCTCAGATATTTTATGCACATTACCTCGTTTTATCTTCCTGCCAATACTACAAAAGTTGTTCGGATTGCCCTTTGCTAGCTATGCGTGTGGGTAAACTGCTTCGCCTTCAGGTTCCTTACCTCCTAGTCTGTAAACTGAAGAAGTCATAGGACCTCCTCACAGAGCTGTGAGACTCGTACGCGTGCGCCGACACCAGCACTGTGTGCTTGGCAGGCATCGAGTGCTCCGTGCCGGCCGGCACTGAGCCGTAACAAGAACGTGACACAGGCCCGGGCATAGCTCAGAAGCCTCACTCAACCTGTGTAAGAGGACACAGGTAGGTGGCAGGGCCAAGCTCACACCTAGGCTTTTAAAGCTCGGCACCCTGGAGGGACCCTGAGTCCTGAGTCGGCGGTTGCCATAGGGGGGCTGAGCCCGCCCTAAATGAAATTCTTTCACCTCTTGCGTCACCCGGACGTCTTCCGGGCCGCGGAGCCCAGGCCGCTTCGCCCTCGCCCTCGTGTGGACACAGGACTCGAAGGCCGCTTTCACAACCGGAGGAAGCTGGGAGGTGGCCAGGGCTGGGCTCAGGCCCTGTGTGGGAGGGAGATGGGGTACAGGAAGGGAAGCGACCCGAGCACCCCTGCCCTCCCAGCTTCTCCTCTCCCTCTTCCTCCTCCTCCTCGTTTGAGCTGGTGGTTGAACCCAGGGCCTCACGGGCCAAACTGCCAGCCCCAGACCGCAAGGACAGGCGCGAGTTCCAAGTCGATTCCCAGAGCTGGGAGTGTCAGCCCTCCGTAAAAATGAAGTCAGAAAACTCGAGGCAGTTGAAAGGACTTCATGCATGATATGGAGTTCTCAAGGGAAGAAATCATGGCACACACCTGTAATCCCAACGCTCAGGAGGCTGAGGCAGGAGCATTGCCACAAGTTCGAGGCCAGCCTGGGCTACATAGCAAGACCCTGTCTCAAAAAAGAGAAAAAGTCAAGAGAAGAAATAAAAGGACCCCCCATAACTAACTCATCATATAATGAATCCCTTTGGCCAATTCCGGCAGAACTGATATGGTAAGAGTGTGATTCTGGTCAGACTGCCTCAGTGTGACCGTGGGTGTTACCTGATGTCTTTGCACTTCTGCTTCGAGACTTTCAAAGGGGGTAATACTACTACTGACCTCATAAAGTAATTACAAAGATTAAATCACATGAAGTTTGTAAAGTAATTAGAATAGCAATTAAAATAGTAATAGCAAGTGCTTAAGTGTTTCTAAGTACACTGAACAACTAGAGATTTTAAAATAACATATAAGTGAAATGCTCATCCTGTGGTTTAGCTCAGCCAGAATTCAGAAAGGGGGGGTGGTATGGAGAAGCCTTGGCAGAGGCCCTTGGCCAGCACATCTGAGGCCCTGGGTTCAAGCTCCAGGACTGAAGAAAATTGGAAGAGGATTAGGAGTGGAGGTAGCTCAGTGGAGGAGTGTGTTCTCGGCATGTCTGATGCCCTGGGTTCCAACCTCAGAAGAAAGGGGGAACGGAGAAGAAGGAGGAGGGGAGGAGAAGAAAGAGAGAGAGAGGGAGGGAGGGAGGGGGAGAGAGAGAGAGAGAGAAGTTGAGCTTAGTGGCACACACCTGTAACCCTACAACTATGGGAGGCTGAAGCAGGAAGATCTCAAGTTCAAGCCCAGCTTGGAAAACTTAGTTCTACTTAACAAAACCCCGTCTCAAAAATGAGGGCAAGGGCTGAGGGCTGGGGATGTTGCTCAATGTGGAGACCCTGTGTTTAATCCCCAGTACTGAAAAACAAATGAACGAAAACCACCACAGATACATGGTTGTGGTCCAGTTCTGTCTGAGATGAACAGGCAGAGACCAGAACAGCCCGGGTGCAGACGAGGTGGGGAGTGAAGGTCGGTGAGGTGGCGTGGGCAGGCACAGGCGGCTGTAGGTTGAGACCTGATTGTGTAAGGCTTCACAAACTGATTTCCTATGTGAGGCTGAGGGAAGTGGGGAGACTTTTCAGAGGAAAGTGGCAGGATGGAAGTGGTGTTGCAGGAAGATCCATCTGGCAGTGGCTTTCGGGAAAGACTGGAGAGAAAGATTAGCAGGGAGGACAGTTAGGAGGTAGTTTTAGTGATTCTGGCCTGAGGTGGCAAGGCCTTAATGTTGCACAAATGGGGATCAGAAAAACCTGAGAGATATCTTTACATTTAAAACAAAAGTAAGAATGTATTTAGCATTGGGCTGGGGATTTAGCTCAGTGGTTTTGCGGCCTGCTGTGCAAGCACAAGGACCCGAGTTCAATCCCTAGTACAAAAAAAAAAAAAGAATGTATTTAGAGTTAAAAAAATGAATAGTACACAAAGATTTAACATTAAAAACAGCCAGGCATGGTGGTGCATGCCTGTAATCCCAGCACTGCAGGCTGAGGCAGGAGCATCACCATGAGTTCAAGGCCAGCCTGGGCTACATAGTGAGAATGTGTCTCCAAAAAATAAATATTTAAATAAAAAATATATGAAAAATTTAAATGAAAAATAAATGAAAAGCAAAGTGTTATGTGCATATACCAACTCCCCACAATGAGTGTAATCAGTATGTACTACAAGCATGTTCTTTTTTTTTGTACCAGGAATCAAATTCAGAGCCTCATGCTTGCCAGCCAGGAGCTGCACCGCTGAACTACATCCCCAGCCTGCCAACATGTTCTAATAAAATTTTTTTTCGGTACCGGGGATCAACCTTGTGCTTGTGAGGCAGGCGCCAGAACCACTGAGCTAAATCCCCGGCCTCTAACAAAAGTTTTTATCCGTTGCCTGCCTTGCAGGTGCAAGGACCTGAGTTTAATCCCCGGTACCCCCCCAAAATTTTTAAAAATTATTTTAAAAAATAAAAAAGAAGTTTCCTCTTTCCTACCATCAGTGTAGCTCTGCAAAGGTGTGCACACATACAGAGTTGACCGTTTAATTGCAGTAATTATGTTCTATAAATTTGGCACAAACCTTGAATTCACAAATATTCCTCCTAAGGGAAATGCAGGGTTAGGGTCTTGCAAAACTCTAGTCATTATGTTTTCAACTGATTAATACATAGGGGTTTTTGTTTGGTTGGTTATTTTTTTATTTTTGTTTTCAGTTGGTTGTTTTTGTTTTGTTCATTAAACCCAGGACCTTCAAACTGAGCTACATCCCCAGCCCTTTTTATTTTTTATTTATTTATTTTTTGGTACCGGGGATCGAACTCAGGACCTTGCGCTTTTGAGGCAGGTGCCAGAACCACTGAACTAAATCCCCGGCCCTCCCCAGCCCTTTTTAAACTTTTAAAATTTTGAGACAGGGATGAGGCAGGAGGATCTCAAATTCAAGTCCAGCCTGTGCAATTTAGATCCTGTCAGAGAGAGAGAGGGAGAAAGAAAAAGAATGAAAGAGGAAGGGAGAGACAGAGAGAAAGAAAATTAGTTTACAGAGGGATGGGAATGCAGCTCAGGTCAAAGAACCTGTGTGTAAGCCTTAGTACCAAATAATAATAATAAAAATAATAATAATAATAAATGATACCTTACAATACTGTTCTGCATTTTGGTGCTCTGTCTTTTCCCTTTTTTTTTTTTTTTTTTTGTGAAAGGTGAAAGATTTATATGATCTGAAGAGAAACCAGAGTATTTTTCCTGTTTTTTAAAAAACAAAAAACAAAACAAAAAACAAAAAACAAAAAGTAAAAAGCAAAAAACAAAAAACCTGCAGCCAGGTGTGGTGGCTACGCCTGTAATCCCAGTACTCAAAAGGATGAGGCAGGAAGATCATAAATTCAAACCTAGCCTGGGAAATTTAATGATTTAATGAGACCCTGTTCCACAAATTGAAAAAAAAAAAAAAAGGAGAGGTCTGGGATGTAACTCAGTGGGGAGACCCTGGGTTCAATCCACAGTACCGCAATAAATAAGTAAATAAATTATACCTATTAAATTATGTATGAAGTCAAACATTTTTATTTGTTTTTTTTTTTCATTTTCTTTTTTTGATAAAAGAGATTGTATCCTTTTTTTTTTTTTTTTTGGTACCGGCGATCGAACTCGGGTCCTTGCGCCTGCCCCTGGCCCCCCTGTTTGTATCTTTTAATTAATTTCCCTATTAATTTTGTTTTGTGATGGCGAGTCTTAAACTCAGAACCTCGGGCCAGGGATTTAGCTCACTGCTTCCACCGGCTGCCCCGCAAGCACAAGGACCCAAGTTCAATCCCCGGTACCAAACCCCGCCCCCAAAACCAAAAAAACTCAGGACCTTATGCATGCTAGGCAGCCACTCTACCACTGAGCTATATACTCCAGGCCTTCTTTATTTAAAGAAATTAGTTTTTAGTTAGGATCAGCAGCATATACCTGTAATCCCAGCACTCTAGTAGGCTGAGGCAGGAGGGTCACAAGTTTGAGCCCAGCCTGGGCAACTTAGCAGGTTAAGGAGGCCCTGTCTCAGAAAAATATATAACAAATAAATAAATAGGGCTGAAGATGTAGCTCAGTGTGAACACCCTAGGTTCAATCTCCAGAACAAAACATAAAAAGAAAGAAGAGAAAAAAAAAATTAGCACTTTTCTTAGCTTCTGACTTATAAATATTAATCCTGACTTTAATCTTTTTTGTTTGTTTGTTTTGTTTTTTGAGACAGGATCTCCCTACATAGTCCAGGCTGGCCTTGAACTCATTATGTAGCCCAGACAGTCCTCAAACTCATGGTGAATCCTCCTGCCTCAGCCTTCTGATTGTGGGATCACAGGTATGCACCACCATGCCTGGCTGAGAGTCATTTTTTTCACATTAGGGATGGAACCCAGTGCACTTTACCCTGAGCTATATCTCTGGTCCCTTTTTAAAATGTTGATATTGAGACAGGGTCACACTAAGTTGCTCAGACTGGCTTCAAACTTGCAATCCTCCTGCCTCAGCCTTCTGAATAGCTGGGACTGTGGGTGTGCACTCCTCACCAGGCTTATTCACATCTTAAACTCCCCTGGGGTGGGTCACTCAAGTTTCTGCTTTTTATAACCCTCATTTTCCACCAGCTCACTGACATGTGGCAGCAAAACCCTCTGGAAGCGAGCCATGTGCAGGGCTCAGAACCAGCACCTGGGTGACTCGGAATTTCTGTCCCCTCCGCTCTTTCCCCCCACTCCTCTCCCCAAAGCCCCCAGGAACTGCCCACTGTCTGTTTTCACTGAGGGCCCTGTCCAGATGGGTGGGAGAATCTTCTAACCCTTTTGCCCTGTACAGCTGCTCTCCCATGTCGTTCTTTCTATCGCCCACCTCTGAGCAGTTTATACACATGGTTTTTTTACTTTTCTTTGGTGGGGGCAGGGATCGAACTCAGGACCTTGCACTTGCCAGGCAGGCATGGCACCACTGAGCTACATCCCCAACCCTCTTTTTTGTTTTTTCGAGACAAGCACTATGTAGCCCAGGCTGGCCTAGAATTCACAGTGATCCTCCTGCCTCAGCCTCCCATGTGCTGGATTATAGCTATCTGCCACCATGCCCGGCCCCCTGCATGTTCTTTCTTTGCCCTCTGACTATAGCCTAGAATCAAGAGCCTTCCTTAAGTCAAATGCTGTTTTCTAGCCTTCTTTGTCAAAGGTTGACACGACCCCCACACATTTCCATAAGCTTTCCTTGTATTTAAGTATCTACTTATCCCAATTTTTCTCATGTTCAGGGTAACAGACAGATTTTCTTTCTTTCTTTCTTTCTCTCTTTCTTTCTTTCCTTTTTTTTTTTATACCGGGGATCAAACTTGGGACTTTCTGCTTTCGAGGCAGGCAGCGGAACCACTGAGCTAAATCCCTGGCCCTTCTTTCTTTCTTTTTTTGACTAGCTAGTCTCTAGCACAATTCGAACAAGTTGTTCCTTCTAAAATCAAGGGGACTGTGAGCTCTGCCAGGGGGAGGCAGGTCGGGAAGCAGAGGTAGGCTACCAG